AATGTACTATTGTTGTTGTTTGGTTTTTTTTTTTTTTTTTTTCAAGTTCTGTCTCCTTACTTTCATCGTGACCTGAAAGTTTATCCTATCTTGTGCAAGAACATAGGATTCTGCTAAACAGTTTAGTTGTGACAAAATAGAGAAAAAAAACCCAAACCAAACCACCAAACCCCAAAGCATCTTTCTGAAAAGTTGATGCCTAATTGAACCAAGAAGCAATTAATATCATTCTTGCAAGTTCATGAAGAGTAACAGAGTGAATATTGATCTTACAGAAAACCATACACAGCCTTTGCTAATGATGACAGCGGATGAATGAACGATAACTCAGTGTATAACTGCCCACGTGTGCAGCTGTGTACTGCGCCGTATTTTGAAAACCCCGTGAGTAGTCTGTGCCGCTCTTTGCTGTCTTAATGAAGCTGTGAATGAGAGCCTGATTAAGTCATAAGAGAGCGGTGGAATATCAAACAAGAGGTTTGTTGGTATTCTCACTTACGTGTTCAAATAGGAGGCTTTGGTTTTGTTTGGTCATGAACTTAATCTCAAATAATAAAGTACACTTGCTTACTTAAGCTCTCGGAACAGCTAGCGTTTGTCACTGGCTTGTGTGTGCTTATCTCCATTACTTCCCTCAGTTTCATCTTGCCTGTTGCTGTAAAACAGTGTGGGGGAAAGGCACGTGGATTTGCAGAACTTCCTGGTCTAGGGAATTTTACCTCCAAGTCCCCAAAATACAAGAGGTCCTTTTTAGACACTGTTTTCAAGTATCTTGGTTATCTAAGTGAAAGAGGGACTTAATTTTAGGGAAACTCGCTGGACCAGTCTTTCTGCTCTGAATATAGAGTTCTCCCGGAACTTAACCTTACAATAAAAATCAGAAGTTGGCAATTATTAAAGGAAGGAAAACTTTATTATCAACACACTAGATAAATCTGGTGGAATGCCTGAGTCTATTATGTGCTTCCAAATAATAGTCTGAACTTGAAGATAGAGACAGCAACCTACCATCCTTAAAGACAGGCCAAGAATGGACAGGGTTTATGAACAATTAAATATACAAGGCCCCTTCATCTTAGGAAGGCAATGACTATGGGCGAGGAAAGGAAGGGTCCAAAAGCAGTTGAAGCTTTCCACTGAACCAGGGCTCTGAGGACTGACTCACTGGAGGCGGTGAGTTTGGGGAAAGCGCTAGCTTGGCTGACTCTGTTAGACGCGTTTTTAAAATGGCTTTGAGTAAAGCATGCAGGTGTCCCTTAGCTACCCTGTGGGGATGGGTAATTTGTCATCATCCCTGCTGGCACCGTGAAGGTGTTGTGTTTATGCTGTGTGTTCTTAAGCAATTAGCATACGAGCCCTTCCTGTAATTCTCTTCTAGGAGTATGTTGAGCTTGTAATGTTATAAATGTTTGGGTGAAGTTGTCTTAGGAGCTTAACTCATCCTCTCTTCTAATAGCTTGAATTAGCTTGGCAACAGTCTAGTTCACAGCAAGATGTGACGTTACTGGGGCTGCACAGGGAGCTCTGAAATTGCCATTCCATACAAATGTGGAATTACCTGAAGTTGTGTGTCTTCCCAGTGCTTTCTGATGGAACACGTGTGAGCAACAAGGTTTCTGACTTCAGTCACTGCAGTAATCATAACTATAATATGGTCTTCTGCTGAAAAACAAATGCTGACAGTGCATTTTGTGTGGTATCAAAGCACATTGGGTTGATGAGAGCACTTCCAGGCTGCCTGTATGTTTGGGACCACCCTCTCCTTTTGGGATTGATTCCCCCCCATCCTGCTTCATACAGGCTGCACAAACGTAGCTGGTGGGTGAAGGAACCCAGTTCCAGATGGAGTACCAGGGGAAGTACAAATTACTCCTGTCTGCACTGTGACACTAACACAAACTGACTTGCATTCTCGTAGTAATTAGTGAACTTGTAGATTGAATTCTGTATTGCAATTGATGCGGTTTTGATTCTCGTTTACCCAGCACTGAACGAGTCACTGTCCCTCTGCCTTGTTACAGCACAGGTAGGTTCATAGAGGTGACAAGACTGCTCAGAGCCAAGTTCTGCCCATTGTAGTGTGTTTCTCCTGGACGTGGGGTTGCTGGCAGCTGATCTCTTCTCCCTTCAGGAGAATCTGCTTGCCAAGCTCTTTTCCTTTTTTTTTTTTTTTTTTTTTTTACCTAAAGTGATGCTTCTATTACCCAGAGCTCTTATATCTGTTGAGGAAGGGGAAAGCCAAGAGCTCTGATACCTAAGACTTTTTTTGCATTTGAAATATACACCTGAAATTTGGCAAAATTATCTTTACTGAAGGCACAAACCAGCTGAACTCTCTTGCCCAGCACTGTCGTGTGTTGTGGAGACCAGGCATGCATAATCCTTGTTGATGTAAGACAAACTCAAAGCGAGTTTATCAGTGGTATTTAGTTTAGAGAATTCCTCAAGTCATTAGTTGCCGGGAACAGTATATTCTTGGGAAGGAATGTTCTTGGGAAGGGCAACTGTTGTGTCTGTGCATCTGCTGATGACCACTGCTATGGAGGAGATGCTGGCTGAGGCTAGTTTTTCACTGAGCCTCCTGTGGCAGATCTTAAATCTAAAGAATTTCTCATCACCAGGAAGCCTGATGAGCATATTAGTACCTGCAGAGTTAATGTCAGTTTTTTGAGGACTAAAGTTCATCTAGGTTACAGATTTTTTTATACACTATACTTAATCCTTAGGAATGCCTCACTGTTTATGCAGGACACTTCTGGGACTCTAAATGTGGATATGAAACTGTATTTGAAGTTGGTTTAGCTGCTTATGGAAGTATTGATTATTGAAGTGAAAATTTGCTTTAAAAACAGTTGAATCAGTGGTTTGTTTCTCTATATTCTCTGGTTATGTGAAAGTCCAGAGCACTGAGTGAGCCAACTTCTGTATAATCAGTGGTTTGTTTCTCTATATTCTCTGGTTATGTGAAAGTCCAGAACACTGAGTGAGCCAACTTCTGTATGTACAGGTACACATATGTATATGCAACTTTAATGTACTTCCTTGTTTCTCTACTTAGTTGTAAATCTACTTTTATTTTTCTTGGAGCTTCTTCAGCATCAATTGGATCAAGGTTTACTTAACTGCTTGTGTTGTTTCCAATTTTGGCATTGTTTGCTATGCAATACTGTAAGCAAATGTGTCATAGTTTTAAATTCTTGGGATCTCAGTCTTGCTAAGTCTTGGCACATTGGAGTTCCCTGTTTTCTGCAGTGAGAAAGCTCTCAAAAGAGGCAAGGCTGCTGAGCTAATGCTGAATCAATCAAAATGAAATCTTAACTTCTTGTTGCATGACTAGGTGAGCGAGCTGTGTTTTGGGCTAGTCTCCAGACAAGTAGAAACTAGTTTTGAAGTGCCAAAACAACAGTGAAAGCAAAGTTTGCAATTACTTTTCAACAGTTGATTCTGTGGTTGACTTAAATCACTAGAAAATTTTTCAGGACAGGTTCTTGTCCTGCCTTCAGGGGCAACTTTTTTGGAAGACCTCTTGAATCTGCTTTAGATTTCCTAATGGAAGATGGAAATGAGGCTACTAAAATTGTTCATGCTTCTGCAGGGATTGAGTAATAGTGGGTAGGCAAAAGATCTAGACCAGTCTTAAGGAGTCAGGAGATTGTAAACTACTCAAAGCTTATAATTTCATCTTGAGGGAGAAGGGGGGAAGAGAGGAGGGTGCTGTCTGATCTCAGTAGCTTCTTGTTTCCTTGTTCCATGGTCTTTGTACCCTCAGTCTGAGACAAATGTTTACAGTCCCATGTAAGGACAAGGCTGTGGGCAGAAGCCACTCTGTGTTGGGTCCATAGTGAGCATGCAAATTCCTGCAGTTCTAGAACAGCCTTCATTTGAGTGGGTTTTTTGTACTTAAAACCATTTATGGGCCCTGTAGCCTGTCTGGAAAGATGTATACTTTTCATTGGAATGAAAAAGTATTTATTTTGAGTGTAGTTATTCCAGCTCTGTTTTCAGTTGAAGAAAATAAGGTCTGAGGAAAAATGTCAGCTTTTTGAATGATGCATTCTTGCTTTTACTAACTTACCTTTCACTACTTAATGTAGTGAAATGTAGTAGTACTTAATGGCTTTATACTTTCCAAAGTATTGGTTGATAAGGGTTTGTTTTCTTTCCCCTGCTGAGGTTCTGAAATGGTTTATATGGTTTCTGTGAGGATTTGAATTTCTGTGTCGGAGAACAAATCAAGAGTTGCTCCTGTTATTACAGCAAATTTGTTTCCCGAAGCAGTCGTTGATTCCTGTACAAAACTATGATCAGGGAATTACTCTTCAAAGTGCCTAATCAACATTGAGATAACAATAATGGGAGATTTCTGCTATGTTTTCTGATCTTGTTGCCTCCTTGACCTGTCTCAGTGTATTGCAATCAGTATTGTTGCCTTAGTTGAGATGGTTGATGGCATAGATCAAATATTCTGTTTTTCTGTTAGCTTTGGATTTTTAGTCTGTGTAGGGACTCTGCTACTCATTGTGGTTAATTCACAGTCAAATAATATCCCTCAGATACCTTTTTCCTCTAGAGGAGCTGAATCTTTTGGGTTGTTCTTTTTCTCGTGTGGAAGCTCAGCAAGCCAAGTCTCTGAGAATGCAACCCTAAGGACACACTTGATTGCAGCTGACCAAAGGGTTCAAAAGTCGCCTGGCAGTCAGGGAAACGGAAATGGCTTGAGAGGGTAAAGATGCACGGATGGCATTATTGCAAAAACCTAATTTCCTTGAGGAAGTTGGTCAAAATGGCTGCACTTGATTCAAAGACTAAGAAAAGCTTAAGAATAGTTACTGTCTAAAAATCCTGGTTTGGCTGACTGTTTCTAATTTCTTTTTAATTCCAGAACTTTTGAATCCTCTTGGGAAACATGAAAACAAAGAACTACTTTTTAAATATCTTTCAGGACAGTTGACACGTTCCAGGGAAAAGCTGTGTTGTTGGACAGTTGACACGTTCCAGGGAAAAGCTGTTTTGTTTTGGTTTTTTTCTGCAAAGTTCTGTCTGCATTTTCAGTCTGCGTTCTCTGTGATTTTAAATAAGTATAAAATGAAAATTGTTTAAAATTTAGCCTTCAAAATGAATGTTGAAAAGTCAGATGACAAAGCAAAGAATGGCTTGAAGTCTTCCTTGCTTATAAGGGATGAAAATGGAAATAACTGTGCATGTGACATGGCTACACCTTCCTCAAAGAACTGTGCCACCAAGATATGTGGTAATTCAACTGACCAAAGTATAGTGACCGAGCACGAAGATGATACTGCTTTTGAGAATAAAAGTGACTTTAAAAGTGTTCTTTTAAAACAGCAATGTATGGAAGCACTTCATCTGCAGAAGACACCTGATAAATGCAACTGTGCAGGAGCTCCTCTGGGAGATGGAGATGCTGCGTGCAAGTCTTCTGTGACCGAAGAGAATTGTGCGTATCCTTTGAACTGTGACTTGAAAGAAGCAACAAACTTACAGAAAGGTAACGTTTCTACAGCAAAAATGCAAAATCAGAGTATGGAACAATCGGTGCCTTACAGCCAGGCTGACTCTCAGCGTGTATTACCTCTTCCCGCTTCAGAGCAGGACGCGCAGTCCCTGATAAAGGACGAGGCACCGTGCCACCTGAGCACATTGGATGTTACTTACGTTATCAGTGAAACTCTGGGAACTGATCAAAATGATGACACGACTCCGAGGGAAACTCTAATCTCTTCTGAAGTATGTCCGAGAGAGAAATTTGATAGAACCAGCTCAGAAGGAGCATCTCATTTCTCCTCTACAGTAGTGATTTCAGAAAGCCCAGATGCCTGTTCCAAACTTGAAGTATGTCACCCTGCCTCTGCAGGTGTCGAACACTATCAAAAAAACACTAACGAGACTGATAAAGAATCACACGAAACAGAAGCACCGTCTGTAAAACTATCTGCTGAATCTATAGATCCTTGTAGGAAAGATGCATTATCACCGTGCGTTAGCGTTAACAAAGATGACCAAGTGAAATCCTTGCAGGATACCCCTGACTGTGACGACACTGGGAATTCCAATGCTGAAACATGCGTGGATAGTCCTGTAAATAATGCTTGCCTTCTCCCAGTAGACAAAATAGATGGAGAACAAGTATCAGAGAAAACCAGTGAACCCTTAACCAAAGACCAGAGCGCCTCTGGAAGTGCTGCTCGTCAGGATATGCACAACGCCACTTTTGTATCTTGCAGTCTACATAAAAAGAGGACTGCTCTGCCTGACCTCAAGTGTGAGGCGACCTTTGTGGTCTTCAGTCCTGCAGCTGACAAAAGCGATTCTGCTCTACGTACTTCAACCCCTAAAGAACATTCAAAAAATACACCTTTCTCTGTTTCAGCGTTGGCAGAACTTGGAAACAATTCTCCTAACCAAAAAACAAATAAGGCCTTTGTAGAAGGATGTAATAGAAGGCCTTTGCTTAAAGCTAGTCCAGGTCAAACTGCAGGAAAACCAGTGGGCAGGTCTCCTCCTGTTGGGTCAACAATAACCAAAGCAAAGAAATCGGAGATTGTTAGTTTTCCCAAACCTAATTTCAAAAACGTGAAGCCAAAGGTTATGTCTAGACTTGTGCTACAGTCAAGGGACAGCACAGGATTAAAACAGTCTCCTCAGTCCCCCCAACTATCAGCTGCCTCCTCACCTTCGCTGGTTGCTTCCCCGAGGCAGTTGTCCCCCTCCATAAAAGCGCTGAAAAAGAAAATAGATCTAGCTAAGGACACTAAAGCAGAATTGCCTGCGAATAAAGCCCATAAGCTACATCTTAACAAACACCTCTTCTCTAGCCAAGTCGTACATGCCACAACACATCCCAGAAACGCTTCCCACAAGGCTTCAAAGACACCTGCGCTCAAGCAGAATCCGGAAGACGTTGGCAAAGCCAGCTCTACCCCTCCGGCATGCTCTTCGGTCTCTGCTGCCCTTCCTACGTGCGCGGAGACTTCCAAAGTGATGCTGAACGACCAAACGGGAAGTTCAAGCTCTTTAACACAGCCCTGTGCCCAAACCATCTGCCCCGACGGAGGCGAGGGAGAGGAAAGCAGCGACACCGGAATTCTCCTGGAAGCGGCTGCGTTGAAAGAGGTGGCAGAGGAGACGTTTGACCTGCACTCAGTTCCTTTGGTAAGCTTTATTTTCTTTATACCTGCTTAATCGTATGTTTTGTACATTTGGAAAAAGGGAATTCTGCGTCGCACGGGGCTGAGTGGGAACAGTGGGATGGGTTTGGGGTCTGCAAATGGAACTGTGGTGTCGATTTCCAAGGTGTAGATTTTTTTCCCCCCAATAAAAGGAGTGAAGAAATACCTTTTTACAAACTGCTTGCACTTGGCCTCATTTAGTATCTTCAGCCTTCATCTTACTCCATAGTATAATTTTTTTTGTTGTTTTGGTAAAGTCTTTTAAAGATAATACAGTTGGTGAGACTTCTAATAAAAGCAAACAAGCCTTAACCTAGTCAAGCTGCTAAAATTGCCTAGCAGAACTTGGTGAGGTTTTTCTAAATATAGCTTTTAATATGTGCTTTTACCAAGATAATTCTAGCTGTGCTGTGACTTTAAATAGATATAAGAGATAAATTGCTGTTTTCAGTTTGTTTTATTTTTTTCCTTCAAGAACTAATTTACACTTTTAAAATTTACCCACAGAAAAATATTAACAATAATGTTAAGTCACGCAAAACCCAAGGACCAGCAAGTCGGTCAAGCGCTTTATTTTTAGCATCTCAATTTAACTGTCTGCTTTGAATAATTTGGGAGTTCATTTATTTGAAGTAGGACTTATTAGAATAGCGAAGAGTAGCCAGAAAATATTTCTCATGCAGAGGGCATATACCTGGTTTTGGGCCGTCAGCCAGCTGGAAGGTGCAAACTTCCTGGCCGGGAGGGATGCGTGCGCTGGTTGGTTGGGAAATGTTTTTTGGACGAGTCAGCTGCCTGTCAGGAGAAACGTGCTGCTTTCAAATGCTCTGAAGGAAGGTTTGAAAGAAGAGGAGCGGTGGGAAAGAAGGAGAAGAACTTCGGGGTTGGGTTGACCAAGATTTTCAGGTAGGGACGTAGAGTTGGAGACTTGGTGCTCTGTGGAGTCCTTCCTGCTGTTCGCTGGTGGGTTGAACAGCTTGCGTGAATAGAAGGGGAAATAGAAGCAGCTATCCATTTTTTTAAACGTTACAAAATAAATAAATATTATTATTTATTTATTATAATAACTATTTTAACTTGAAAACCTATATTAACATGAAAGCACGGGTGGTCTGTCTTAATTCTAAAGTCTTTCAGACCTTGCATTCTGCTTCACTTTTGGTGCTGAGGTTTGGAGAGAAGGCTTTTAATTCACTCCGTCATCAAGACAGAAACCTTTGTGATATTAATTGTTCTGCTGGTACCTGGATAATCCATAGAGCAATTTCCATAAAACGTGCAGTAGACCAATCAGCAGCACTAAACTTAATAAGTGGTCTGCTGAAAAGTACGGATTAATTTCTGAAAATGAAGATGATTGGAGTCAGAAGTGGAGTATGACCAAATTGCTGCATACCAGCTTGAATCACAAGAACATACAGCTCTTCATATGCTTTTCTATGAGTTTACCTTTATAGCCTTAACTCTACAGCATGAGAGGTCATGAATTAGTGTCTATATAAACCGGAGCAAGAATTCTCTATGAAAGACAGATGAGTGCTACATAGAAACAGGTTATTTTAAACCTCTCCTGGGGTCCACTCCTGAATTTCTTTAATCTGTGGCACCTGAATGTGAAAGACTAACCCATTTCTATGTTGTAACAAAAGACCTAGACCAGGAAACCTGTTGAAAGGGGTGGTAGGGAATTCATCTTGAGATTAGGTGCAATCATGTAATTGAACAGTTTAATTAGAGTTTGGGGAGGAAGAGGAAGAAACTCTCATGTTAAAATGATCCCTGTAACCTTTTTAGTGTGTTTGTCATTCCTATTAGTTTGAAGCTAATCACTGGTATTGTGTTGCTGAGGGCCATTCAGGAGATGATTCTTGAGGTTCTGAGCTGGAGATGGGGACAATGTGACAGCCAACAGCTAAGCATATCCCCTACCTGTGTGGTCAGTATTTCATTACAGATGCTGGGTTTCTCACAGGGATGGGTTTTTTGTGGGTGTGTTTGGTTTTTTTTTTTGTGTGTTGGATACTTATTGTTTTTTTAAAACAGACGTCTTCTGTGAAAGATGGGACGACACAAGGGAAAAACATACTGAAGAAAGACCCAGTCACACTACAAGGTGTATCGACTCCCAAGGTTAAAATGATGCCCTCTGTGGTGCCCTTCAAGAAAGGATGTGAAAATAAAACTATCAGCACAATTAAAGCACCTTCTCACAAAGGAGCTGTTCTGTCAGCAAGCTCTGGTAAGAGAATTTTTCACTGGAATACTACCACTGAACTAGTTTCTTAAAATCAAGATATCGTATTTAATGTATTGTCTGACAGAACTTTTAGAATGTTAGGGAGCTGTATTTTTGGTGCTAAATATGATTCTATCTAAATAGCAAACTGCTATTTAGAGGGAGGAGGGAGGAAACAAAAAGACAAGTTGCGCCCCATCAGTGTAAAATCTTATCTCGTAAGGAATGTGTTCAGGTGGGTGTGGTGCTATTGGAAGAAACAATATGTAAATATTATTATTTATAGTTTGATTATATAACAGTACTTTGTGGAATTACAACTGAAATTACTCGAAGGACCTACAAGTGAAGAGGAGAAAATACAGAGCCTGGGTACAAAGCATTTACGATAAGCAAGTTCATGCTGTCCCAAAGGGAATGGGCCCTTGTTTTGGGACATAGCATATTTTCTTCAACCTAATTTTGGTACAGCTCTATAGTTTCCAGAAAGGGGATAACGTAATTGAAGGAGAGACTACTGCTGGAGCTGCTAATTAAGATCAGAGTGATTAATATCAGGGGGGAGGAGGCACAGGGATCTCAAAACTGGTCTGTAGGCTGCTGTTCAAATCTGGTGACTGGAAACTGCATTCTGTAATTGTACTGTACAAATTCAGAAATGTTCTTGTAGGTTATATACTTGTTTTTTTTTTTTTAACCAAGTGTGGCAATATAGCTAATTGCAAAGGTAGCCTGGCTATAAATGACTACACTACAATACACTGTAATTTGGAAAGTGTGCAGTCCCAGCTATACCCAGTAAAACCTGTTTGTTTTTTTTTTTAACCCACTCAATCTAAGATTATAAAACAGTCCAAAATACTCCTCTTAATTATATACAGGTGGTGAAGCATGATAAAATCTGCATCTGTAGCCCTTCATGGAATGAGTCCCTCAAAGAAAGCGGATATAGGCTATTCTCTGACTTGATCCCTGCTAATGTGAGGGACTCGCTCAGTGGACTACATACCTACCTGTAAGCCACCAATTTCTTGGAAGACTCATCACCTCTCTAAATACCAATTTAGAGCTTTCCTATCTGTAATTATGGTCTTAGAAGACCTGAGATATATACAGATATAGAGGTATGTTTGTCCCTTAGGTTATTAATCTGGAGTAGATTTATGACACCATCACTAGAAATAAATATAAGCATTTGTTAGTAAGTCCTAGTTAGAGGACTAACTTCTTCCCTTCATAAAGAAAAAAATCAGATGCACTTTCAGAGGCAGAAGTCATTTGCTTTTGAAAATAAAAGCCTTTACTCCTCAAGTTTCCTTAAGTGAAGCTGTCACTTCTCAGCTCATTGAATGCTGAAATTACAGTAGTCAGTAGAATATCTTTCCAATTTTTCCTATTGGAAAAAGACCGCTTAACGTAAAAATATGAAGGAGCACCTTAGTGTCTAGAGGCAGAAGTCATTTGCTTTTGAAAATAAAAGCCTTTGCTCCTCAAGTTTCTTTAGCTGAAGCTGTCACTTGTCAGCTCATTGAATGCTGAAATTACTGTAGTCAGTAGAGTATCTTTCCAATTTTTCCTATTGGAGAAAGACTGCTTAATGTGAAAATATAAAGGAGCACCTTAGTGTTTCAAAGTTGTGCTGTGCACTGGTAGACTGTAACTATAATGTTGCCCATGAGAAGGATTTATTTTCATGCCCTTTCTCCAGGTCCCCTGCCTATGGCCGCTGTCTCCAGCACATCATAGAATTGTCTAGGTTGGAAGGGTTCTTTAAGGTCATTGAGTCCAACCATCAACCTAACGCTGCCAAAACCACCACTGAACCATCTTGCATCTTATCCTTCATTTTTCTTATGCAATGTTTTGATCCTATGAAGTAGGATTTGATGCATTAAACTATATCAGGTTAATTATCCCATCCCTTGCCGAGGGAATTCTTAAGTGTGGTTCCTTGCTCTCCAGCAACCACAGTACTGATGCAAGTTGGAGGATGGGAGTGCAGGGTGGGAGAAGCAGGGATGGGAAAGGGAGGAGTTACTTGGTATTGCTACCAAGGCCCTGCTGTGTTATGTGACCACACTTTTCAGGTAAAACTCTGTCAACTGCTGCTCACCCCACCTGTTTGGGAGAAGCAGGGATGGGAAAGGGAGGAGTTACTTGGTATTGCTTACAAAGGGCCTGCTGTGTTATGTGACCACACTTTTCAGGCAAAACTCCGTCAACTGCTGTTCACCCCATCTGTTTTTAAAGTTTTCTGAAGTAAAATTCTACGTACGCTTACTGTGGCCACGTGGCAGCTTCTAAAGCAAACCCAGTTACCTGTTTTATCTAAAAGCTTCCTGTAGGGAACAACTATATCTTCCAGTTAAGTAATTTGAACACTTTGGTATTAAACTTGTGCTTTGATATGATTCCAGCAGCGCAGATAAATAACTTGGTAGCTGTAGAGTTGGTTGCTGTCAGGATTTTTCCATACTACAGACGAGCTAAATCCAGGATGGAAAGGACTTCTGGAGGTCACCTAGTCCAGCCCCCCTTTGCCTGTAACTGGGTCAGCACTGAATTTGGACTAGGTTGTTCAGGCATTTGTCAAGCCAAGTCTTAAAAATGTCCAAATCTTAACGACCTCGTTGCTTCCTCAAATGTTAACATAAATGCAGCTAATTCTTAACCAGCTCCTGGTTGTATTTGGGTCGTTGCACAGGAAGATAAATCAGTGTAGTGAGTCCATTAAATGCTCTGAACAGGAGAAGCGGTGGTACAGCTCTTTATCGTCTCTTGCATGTGCATGTTGAGGGAGAGAAGCAGTCCTTCTGTCCAAAATGTATTGGTATATGTATTATTCCCAGAATAATCCAGAGCTTGTGAGCAGTGAATTGTATCATGCACTGTCGTCTCGAGTGGGAAGCAGGAAACTCCCCAACAACCAAGAAAAAACAAAAATGCCTTATATAAAACACCAATTATAAGATCCTTGCAGCTTGGCAGGACTTGGGATTTTGGGTTGGTTTTTTTTCACTAGTAAACCGTAAATTTTCAGTGGTAACACACTAACCCAACAGGAAGCATGTCTTCTAAGGAAATTCCCTGATCCTCTCCCAAACAGAAGACAGCAAAAGAGGAGGAAAACTCATATCTCAAGTATTATATTTTTATGAAGTTATTTGTAGAGCACATTAAGCTAGAAATAACTTTTTCATTGATTTCAAAATGGCTACTGTCCGCTGTTCACCAGTATTGGTGTATCTTGGCTGGAATGTGGAGTTTTTGCTGAATTAGAAATTGGTTCTTTAAAAGGTGGGCCCGGCTTGGTTCAGTCTACTGAAGTGGTTTGTGAAATGGCAAAGCCCCTTTTCTGCAGCAAATCGAGAAATCAGGTCACAGTTGCAAGCTAGATGCCTCAAAATTATTTCTGTAGCTGCTTGTCTCCATTCTTCCCTAAGACAGAATGACCTACAATCCCAGACTCATTCTCAAACAAAAATCTTCATTCTCTATAGCTAATTTTTCCATGGTGGTGTGTGCAGGTTTCTGTGGTGCTGGGTGGCAGGCAGTATCCCTTTTGCTGTGTTGGTTTGGTATTAGTGAAAACGCTTATTAGAACTCAAGACTCAGAATAAAGCATTTGAGTTACCTGGTTCTTGCTGGAAGGCGTGTGTAAATTTTGTAATCTGGACTTTGAACCAGTCCAGAAATCAAAGCGACTGTTGTTTTCGTTCCTAGCAAATGCACACAACCTTCTAATTGGCTGTAAATAACCACTGTGGAGGGGTAATAGCCTGCTAATGGTTGAGGTATTATGGTTTGGGAAGAGTCTTGTCTTTCTCCCTCAGCACTGGAGAAGCCAAGGAGAATTTGGTGGTCTCGTGGAACGTCACTCCAAGTTCTTCTTCTGTCAGCCTGCCCCCAGCAACTGAGTGCTGCCACCCATGCGGTTGGATGGAAGCACTGTGACAGTTTGAGCCACAGGAAATTGCTTGATTTGTGTTGGAACAGCGTAAATTAGGGATATAGATGGTTTACTTCAGATGTAAAGATTGAAATGCCCGCCACTGCTGGGTTTGTTTTACTAGTGCTGACTGCAGCCTACCTAAATTGCTTGATTTGTGTTGGAACAGCGTAAAATAGGGATATAAATGATAAATAGATCTAAAGATTTAAATGCCCGCCACTGCTGGGTTTGTTTTTCTAGTGCTGACTGCAGCCTACCTTAAGTATGTAAATGAATGGAGCTTTACCTGCAGGTTAAGATTTCTTAGAAGCTAATAACTTCATCTACATTTCTGCCTTAAAATAATACCATTGCTTTAAATTATTTCCCACTGTATGAAGCTTCACATTGATGTTGGTGTCTTAGCTGTGAGAGCCTTGTCAAGCCTTATGCGTTAATGAAACCGTTTGGGGCTATGAAAGTAGAAAAAATATTATTCCTCCACTTAAATTAATTTCTGGAATTCTTTAAGAGTAAACCACATAAATCATCTTTGTAACCAAAATGTCTTTAACCTTCTGACAGTTATTTCTGACACTTTAGCTACCGTTTTGTCTCTGATCTAAATCACTAATAACCAAGTAAAGCCCTGTGATTTATTTATCTTTCCCATGAGTCTACTCCAGTGATGATACTCCTCCTGCTTTCTAACATTTTCATAGCATTTAACTGTGGTAACAAAAGCTTGGGTAGAGGGAAACTCAGCGGTCTGAATTCTGTGTTTCTTTGAAGAGGGTTTTGGACAAGTGAGACCCTTTCCTTATGAAAAGCTGATCACACTGAAGGACTTTCCTGGTTCAGTGACTAACTGAAGCACAGGAAAAATAACGCCCTATATGATGTAGGAAATACATTTCAGTTGTATTAGTAAAAGTTTTAGTGACACTTTGAAACACTGATCTGCTTGTTAGTTCATCATAGCTAAATTCCTCCTGTTGCGTTTTGGCTTGATCTTAAACTTAAATGTATAATTTAGGGAGGCTTCCAAAGTTAAAACCAGGCTGTAACAGAT